GTTGCGGTCAGAGGCTCGCACAGAATCGGCAGGGACGGATAGGCTCGTGCGGGTTGCCAGCGTGATTCCCGTTTTGATTCAGCGCACATGCTCCGTCTGCGGCGGAGGGAGGAGTATGCACACAAATCATTGGCGACTGGTGGAAGTTGGACTCGCGATTCACAAATATTAGTAGTCTGTGGAATAAGGCAAAACGAGACGAGTGGGTTCCGTTAACGAGTGGTGAGCACTCATTAACGAGTGCTAATATTCTCCATCTAAACCGGCAAGACAACGAGTGCATGGCTCAGTGGTTAGAATGTTGGAATTCTAGCCAAAAATCGCGGGTTTGAGCCTCGAGTGGTGCACTACCCGGGGTTGGGTATGACTAGCTGATGATGGCCATTCTAGTCTTCTTTGCCTCTGTCGGCAATGCCCATCTGTCAAAAACGCTATTCTCAGCGTTCATCGACTTCAACTATTGATTTTAGTCTGTCATTAAAGTGTACAGTTGACCCTTATTCAATACTGCCCCAGGCAAGACGGACTGGACACATTTGGCTTTAAAGTCCTTCACAGAGGTTCCTCCAATAAACAGTGTCCCAAGTGAATTTAACTATTCTTTTGAGCAACTTCTTGAGCTCATTGTTTCCATAAAGCAGCGATAACCAGGAATGGAAACAAGGACGTCTATTTTGCCTGCGGGGCCTCGGATTCTTACGTGGCAGTTTGCTGACCCTGAGAGTACCCGGAATTCCGTGTCTTGTTAACAGTAAGCAAAACGTTCTTGGAGCACCTGACAATGACCGTTGACACCCCCGACACGTTCAAGTATGCACACTAGCTTTTTCAAACATTGGTGGTGGTTGCTATGGTGCAAAATATACTTCTCGTGCACCTCTACGTATTTTGTCTGAGTCCTTATCTCTAAAGAGGAAATCGATTGCCCTGAAGTAGCTTTCGGTTACGAGGGCAGAGGGTCAATATGGGAGCAGGCTCCAGACGGTGTCATTTCGATGAGCGAGCAGACGGACCGATCAAGGACAGGGAAGTCGAGGCTAAAAGATAACCAGCGAACGGCACTACGGTCCGTCATGAAAGGGAGGATAGGGTGGAGGGCACACACCTCGTTGTCGGCCCTTACTCCGACCGCCACGACCACCTCGATCCGAGCTCTGCCAGTTTGTAGTCCGTGAAAGTTGAACATCCCAAGGCAGGAGAAAATTGCTGCCACGGAGAAATCCAGGGTAGGCGAAACCTGCAGGGAGGAAAAAAACCATAGTTGAGATTGGCAACAAACCAGAGAACTGACACTCGTTGACGAACGATCAACCATCTGGATTACTGTTTGCTCAGTTCATCTGCCTTGAAAGATAAAGCAGACAGAATGCCTCAACGTCGGCACACATCCCTGCTGACATTCACTATGACGCATGCAGACTAGAGGTTGTACTACTTGTCCTATATCATGTGTGTCTAACGTAACTACCGTGTTACGCACCTAAAGGCGTGTACAAGTCTCCCTGTGGTTCTGACGTTGGGAATAGCCTGTACAGTTGTTTGCTAGTGCCCTTGTCTTATTGACTTTGTCTTTACACCGGAAACGGAGGTGGGAGCGGCGAACGAGTGGGTG